GAAATTCCACATCAGCCCAAGACTCCTGTGGAGAGTAGCTCACCAGTTGCTGATCCGAGTCAAAGACCGAGGCATGAAAGGAGAGAGCCACCTTAGCTTAGAGACTATGTTAGAACAGTTGTGTGCTAGCCAGTCTAGCCCATGGACTTTGTTAGAACTTTTACCCGTTAAAGTTACTGAGTTCAAAGGAACTAATCCTGCTCTTAAGTGGCGGGGGATAGTGTAGCATGGGGCCTGAGCCCTAATGACTCACCGCGCTTGCGCCGCGTGTGCATGTGTGAATGAAGCGTGCGTGCTTCGGTGTTGTGTTGTGAAGGCAAACAGTTTTCCTTTTCGTTCACGTTACATTTATCAGTTTCTTTCAAAAATTTTGAGCCTTTTTAATTTAAGAAACTGTACATAAATGCCTTCCTTTTAGTCTTCTAAGGAATTTTGTTTATCCATTTGTTTCTGAATGTTCCTTGAAAACTTCGTAGAATCGAGGAAGTGTTGCAATGTTGTCGATCATACCAAGCTACTGCACACTAATGGATGAGTGTGCAATGGCTCAGCCAATCAGATTACAGCATTTGCATTAGTATAGTAATAGAATTCTACTAAAGAATCTTAGGGTATGACTTGAACCAGAGTATTAGACAAATTTCTAACCCTTTCCCTAGACCATAATTTATAGGCCTGGTGCATGCCTTGATTTTCGTGAGCAAACATTGTACCCACCCCCTTCAAACAAAGTGTAACTTGATACACATTTATATCGAAACGTTTCATTGCATTTCACTAATTAGCAAGTATACAAATGCAATTTCCAGATTCTGATGTAATGGCTCTCATCCTGAACTGCATCCTTTTCAATTTCTTACAAATTATTTAAATACTTAACCACCTACTAATAACAAATGCTGCCCTACATGCCAGTGGGCACAATGGGCAGTGAGTGAGTGAGAGTGAGTGACTAATAACAAATACAAAGTTACTGTTATATATACTGTTTTATATAGATAGTGGTGAACAGCACGTTGCCAGGACAAAAGTTAAACCAATCAGTAGATATATTTTTACAACACGGGATGAGACAGTTTACTGGTTCTAAGCTTCCGACTGATTGGCGTAGGTTGGAACGCCAGGGGTCTCTTCCGACGGTGGGAGAAGCCCTCATAGCTTCATTGGGCAGCTACCGCCCACCTCAAGCTGGGCAGCCCCCAGCCAGTAAGGTGCTGCCCCGCCATGGCTTGCCTGCTCTACTGGGTGTGTAGGGCTTAGGGGACCTCCCCGACAAGTGAGTCACAACTTCACACCAGGCAGTCACAAAAGAAAAACAACAATGAAGACTCCAGCTCTTCGAATCGCAAGCTGGAACGTTTGCACCATGTGCCCCGGACTCTCTGCTGACCTTCAGCAGATGGATGACTCCCGCAAGACCGCCATCATCAACAAGGAGCTGACACGACTTAACATCGACGTTGCCTTCTCCAGGAGACTCGGCTGGCCGATAGCGGTTCTCTTAGAGAATCAGACTACACCTTCTTTTGGCAAGGCTTGTCCCAGGACGAGCCGAGGCAGCATGGTGTAGGTTTTGCTGTGAGGAACTCGCTGCTCCCCACTACAGAAACGCCGACTGGAGGCAGTGAAAGATTCCTCACCCTCCGCATGAAGACATCGACTGGTTCTGTCAACTTCCTGTCTGTTTACGCCCCGACCCTCACGTCCAGCCCAGAGGCCAAAGATCAGTTTTACGAGGCCTTGGAGGAGACAGTGTCCCAAAT